CACCACCATCACCATCACCATCGTCATCGTCACCGTCTTCATCGTCATCACCATCATCATCATCACCATCATCACCATCAAAGTTATCATCAACATCATCATCGTCAACAGACATAATTAGCATCATCATTGTCACCATCATCATTACCCATTATCAGAGTCAACATTACGTCATCATCACCCCCACCACCATCAACACCATGACAATCAGCTTCATCACCATCAGCACCACCACCATCATCATCATCATCACCATCATCATCACCATCACCATCACAACCTGCGGCACCATCACCAACCGTCATTAGCACTTGTCATGAGGCGGTCTTCAGGTAGTTAGCTACCACTACTCTCCCTTCTGCTCTTCCGAATGCTGCTCTCAACTTTACTCTGCTTGCTGCTGCGGCCGCTCTATTGATCTCTGCAAACCGTACACTTGAATTTAGCGCAGAAGAATGAGTGTAAGGATCTGAAATGGGCTTCTCATAGCTCAAGCGGGTAAGATGGCTGCTGTGCCGACCCTAAACCCTAAACCCCGTGACAAAGCAATGAGACCCTGAACATCTAAACCTCAAGCCCTAATCAGGCTAGGGCCTAGAACCTTAAGCATGTATAGCTTATGTAAGCTCCAACACCCTAAAACCCCTAAAAACCCCTAAAAACCCTAAAACCTAAAACCTCTCCCCTGAAGCCGAAACTCTTAGCGGCAAACCCTCTACTGTAAGGGCCTACGACTCATAATTAGAATAGAGCTCTGGGTTCCTACCCTACGGAAGAATATGGGTAATTTTTGTTGGTGCTTCCTTCTTATACTTATAGTGTAATATACCCTAAAACCCTATTCTAGTCTTATAGTGTAATATACCCCAAAACCCTATTCTAGTTTTTAAGGCCCCTATATTACTACTGGGGCCTAGGCTGCCTGCGGCGCTGGCGAAGAGGTCACGGAGCGCCTTTCTTGGACCCTCTGCAGAGTTTTGGGGGGATTTTGCTAGAAGCTTCATAACCTTCCCGGTAAGATCAAGTGATAAATAACCTAGCAGCCTCTGTATGAAGGTTGTTCTCTCATGCCTCTTAACTCTACAAAAACGCATAGACACGAATTCAAGTCTGAATATACGTCCGTAGGTAAGCACCCCTGGTCCCCGAGGCGGTTGTCATGAGAGTTGAGCCGGGCCCCGCCTGTGTGATTCGATGACTCTATGAAGGAACTCCAGCAAGTCTTATTACCCATGTTTCAAGTCTCTCTGTATCAAAACTATCTAAACATTAGACTCTAAAATGAAACAGTCCCTATATTAAATATCAAAAGTATCTAAGCATAGACGCGAAAATGGCTTCCTGGACCTGAGGTACGTACGACCCCACGGTGAAACTTCACATGAACCTTCAAGGGGAGCTTGAGGCTTGGTTTAAGGCTTGAAGCATGGGTAAGCACGCCCCCATTCCCAAAGAACAGGGGCAGGCGCCCCTAACACCTAAACCCTAAGCCCCAAACACACTAAACTCCAAACCCTGAAACCCGCACCCAAAACCCGCAACCTGAACATATACCCCTAATGTAGGGGCCTAAATACTTACCAAGTCATATTTATCGTGGAATGGGCCCCAAAACCCTATTCTAACTGTTCAGGCCCCAAAACTACACACTGAACCTTCCATCCTAGACCCCTAGCCAAGCAAAGCCCCTACTCTTCTAGCAAGCGGTACTCAGCCTACTCCGCACCTCCACGCCCTAACCCTTCCCGCCAAAAACCACTCGGTTTAGGGTTTATGCACTAAGGTTTAGGGTTTAGGTCCCGAAAGCCACAAGCCTTATTTAAAACAACACACCCTAAACCCTAAACACAAACCGGTACTCATGTGTCTACGTCCAGGCCTTGGCGATTCGGGAGGAACCTCCACAGCGGTTGCCTCCCAAGTCAAGACGAGCAGTTCGGGTTCAGAGAGGTTTAGGGTTTAGGGTTCAGGGTTTAGGCTTCAGAGGTTCAGGCAGGTTTAGGGTTTAGGTTTAGGGTTTGGAGTTCAAATTTGTTTGGGAGTTCAGGGCTTAGGGTTTAGGGTTTAGGGTTTAGGGTTTAGGGTTTAGGGTTTAGGGTTTAGGGTTTAGGGTTTAGGGTTTAGGGTTTAGAGGCTAGAGTCTCGGGGTTTAGTTTCTGCCTTTTTTTTAGGGTTCAGGGCTTACGGTTCACGGTCTCGCATTCAGCGTTTAGGGCTTAGGGTTTAAGCTTCAGGCATGGGCTCAGAGGTGTTGGCTTAGCATTTACTGTACCGTACTTCCAAGCAGAATGTTCTTGAGACATCGGGGCGTCCAAACGTGAGAAAGGAAGGCCCAGAAGAAGGAGGTGTTTATTTGGAGGTTTAGGGTTTAGGGTTTAGGGTTTAGGGTTCATGGGACATAAGCATCACAGTTCTAAGTACCTTCGCTGGGGGTTTTTGCTAATTCTATGTCTGATTAACCAGCCCCATGTTTCTCTAAGAAAGGCTGCTTCAGGGTGGTTCTTGTAGGGTTTATGGTGCCTTTCCAGGCTGGGCTGACAACGTTTGATCGGCTTTTATCGGATTGCTTAACAGGGTTTGGGGTTTAAGGCTCGAGTGTAAGCACCTGAATCGAAACCTAAACCCCCAAAACCTTACACCCCTTGCATTGTAAACAGAAGAAGGGCCTCCGAAAGTATAAGACAAGAAAGAAAGACACATGTGTTCTTACTCAGAACAGGGCTCCAAGCCCCAACCCCCAAAGCTCGAACCATGAATTTTCCCTTGAACCCTCAACACTAAACCTTAAACCATGAAAGTTTCCCCCTAAACCCTAAACCCTAAACCTCTGACCATGAAATTTCACCTAAACCATAAATCCTAAACCCTAAACCCTAAACCCTAAACCTAAACCATAAATCCTAAACCCTCGAAAACCCGACTGAGCCTGGATGGACCCGGCGGCATTTCCGGGCAGAGCCGGGCTGGCAGTGGACTCGCCCTGCATCGCCTGTTGGAGCGCTTCGGAAGTCAGGGGCCTTCTGGGGTTTAGGGGTTCCGGGATTCAGGGTAGGGTTTAGGGTTTAGGGTTTAGGGTTTAGGGTTTAGGGTTTAGGGTCTAGGGTCTAGGGTTTAGGGTTTAGGGTTTAGGGTTCAGGTTTAGGTTTAGGGTCTAGGGAACCCCCAAAGAACCCTAATCCCATAAACCAAAACCCTGATATAGGGGCCTTAATAAATAGAATCGGGTTTGGGGCTCCTTTTTGTATACGACGAAAATCATTCCTTTGGGTCCCTTATCATAAGCGTAGCATACTTATGATCAGTAACCCTAAGGAATAATAGCCCTAAACCCTGAACCCTAAACCCAAAACCCTAAAACCTAAACCCTAAACCCTAAACCCTAAACCCTAACTGTAACTATTTAGGCCCCTTGACTAAGTCCGTCTCTGCCCCAACTCGTCCACCTCCAGGGAGAGGGCCGGCGAGAGGACCTGTGGCTTTAGGGCAAGGGTTTGGGGTTTAGGGTTTAGGGTTTAGGGTTTGGGGTTTAGGGTTTAGGGTTGAGGGTTTAGGGTTTAGGGTTTAGCAGGGTTTAGGGTTCAGGGTTTACGGCGTTTACGGTTTAGGGTTTAGCAGGGTTTAGGATTCAGGGTTTAGGGTTTCGGGTTTAGGGTTTCGGGTTTAGGGTTTAGCTTCACCTGGAGACTTCAAGGTTTCAGCAAGGGCTTTCGACTTTGCAGGGGTTGGGGCGTAAAGTTGAGGCCCTGAGATGTGCAGCACGAAGACTGGTTGAGTTTGGGTACGGGCTGCCGCGTGGAAGTCATAGGTGTTGAGACCCATAAATCAATCCATGGCCTGCGGTTCCAGGAACTTGATGCATGTATGTGCGGTGTTTCTCTTGGGGTTTGGGGAACCCTAAACGCCCCTAAACCCTAAACCCTAAACCCTAAAGCCTAAACCCTAAACCCTAAACCCTAAACCCTAAAAGCCCTAAACCCTAAACTGTGGCTCTCTGAGGATCTAGTGGACTGCGTGTCTTGAAATCCCAGGGCTTAGGGGCTTTGAGGTTCACCCCCCTCCCGTTTAGGGTTTAGTGTCTAGCGTCCTCATGGTCATCATCATCATCATCATCATCATCATCACCCTGCGCGAAATTAATCTTGAAAGAACAGCGTTGATGCCACCACAAAGAACAGTAAATAGTCTCAATCACGGCTTTGTCCTGAACCGAGGATGGAACACACGCAGACCCTTCAAAGACCTTGCCAAGACCCCCACCAAACTATAACCCTAAACCTTAAAGCCGTGAACCCTGAAGCCACAAAGCTCGAAAGCAGTGGTATTCCCAAGCTCCCACGCCTGGCAGCTGGAGGGCGAACCCGCGTGATCCTCCTGAACAATCGCACGTTTCAGGGCCTTACGGCCCTAAACCCTTGGCCCACCAGCCTAGGGTTTAGGATGTGTTAGTGACCTAAACCCTAAACCCGAAACTCTAAACCCTAGATCCCGTTAGTGTTTAAGGACTGTGGATTAAGGTTTGGGCACCATCGGCTCTGCACTCTGAATCTTTCCACTCCTCGCCGGTGTCCGGCACATGTCGCAGTGAGGCCTGCGGCTTCGTGGACTGTCTGTGGGGCTCGGGGGGCTCTGTGAATACCCAGAGATTCAAACATCCTTGATTGGGTTTAGGGTTTAGGGTTTAGGGTTTAGGGTTTAGGGTTTAGGGTTCGCAACATAAAAAGGATCCTAAAAGTGGGACCCTCAATAAAGACCAGAACCCCACAACCTAAACCCTCGCGACCCTAAATCCATACATGCACTGTAAGTAAACACTAAACCCTAAGCCACCCTCAACCTAACATCACAAACCCAAACCCCCTAAAATCCCGTACTACAGAAGCCTGCACAGTTAGCTACACAAGGGGCTTTTTTTCGGGGAAGGACGACGGACAGGCTGCTTACTAATGTCGGGCCTTTATAGTCAGACTGGAAATTTGGGTGTTCTGTACTAAACTTCTGGTCGGGAACCTCCAGGAGTACTTTTGCCATTGAGGTGGGAGTTAGGATTATGGGGACCCTTGGGGATATGGACCCTCTCAAGAAGGTCCCGTTTAAGAGAGCCAGAAGTAGGGTTAAGAACGGTCCCCTTTCAGGGGTCTCCCTAGTACTACCTGGGATCAGGACGTCTGCACTGGCACCCTGCACGACCTGAACCTAACTCTGTCAGGGAAGCCAAGCCTGACGATAGGCCACTCGTCTAAGCCCCCTCCAAGACCTCTACCTAACCAAAACCCGTATAACAGCCCCTGAGAGGAACCCTCGCAACCCTGATAGATCCCCTGTAGGAACCTCTCAGGGAACCCTAAACCCTGAAAATCCTGAATCGGCCTGACCGGCAGCTTCGCGTGGCGAGCTCCGCTCTGCCAAGTCGAAAGCCCCTGGTCGTTTTGGCCGCTTTACGTCCAGAGGGGTTTAGGGGTTTTAGGAGGCTCCGGAACCCCATTAACTGACGAAGCTTCCTGAACTTCAAGAGGGATCCTTCATTTATCGAAGTTAGTAAGGGGTTTGGGGAGGGTTTAGGGTTTAGGGAGGTGCTCCCACCGAATTGCCCCACACCTTCACCCCAACACCCAGCAACCCTAAACCCTAAACCCTAAACCCTAAACCCTAATCCCGACACCCCCCCAAACCCCATCCACAATCGGCCCCAACACCCTCAACAACAAACCCCTCAGCCCTAAAATCGAAGCCCCAAAAGCCCCAAGCCCTTTGTGCCCTGAGCCCTAAACCCTAGACCCCCAAGCTCTATAAATGCCGAAGCCGTGGGCCCAAAGTACGTCGACGTCCACCCTCACGCCGAATCACTCTCTGACTTTGGGCGTAGGGCTTTGGGCTTTGGGTCTAGAGTTTACGGCTTAGGGTGGAGGGTCTGGGTTTCGGGTTTAGGGTTTTGGGTCCCTCTGGCAGAAGAGTTTGATATGAAGAACTGCAGTGAGGCTTCCAATGCACAAGATTGTCCCGACCTAGTGCACCAGTTCGTAGTATCTGATAGTTCAGGATGTGAGATGCAAGAAGGCTCACGAGTTTGGGGACGGCCGGCGCCAACCCTGGGTTTCTGTTTTTTTCCGAGCCTTAAAACCCAATAACCCTAAACCTGAACCGTTTTAGGCTCCCCTAAACCCGAACCCTCAGCCCTAAACCCTAAACTAAGCCCTAAACCAAACCTTAAACTAAAGCCTAAACCCTCAACCCGAAACTGAGCCCTAAAGCCTGAACCCTAAACCAAACAATAAACTAAAGCCTAAACCCTCAACCCGAAACTAAGCCCTCAACCCTAAACCCTAAACCCTAAACTAAACCCTCAACCCTAGACCCTAAACCCTCAACCCTAAACCCTAAACCCCTAAACTAAACCCTAAACCCTCAACCCGAAACTAAGCCCTAAACCCAAAACCCTTAACCCTAAACTAAGCCCTCAACCCTAAACCCTAAACCCTAAACCCTCAACCCTAAACTACAGCTTAAACCCTCCACCCCAAACCAAGCCCTAAACCCTAAACCCTAAACCCTCAACCCTAAACCCTAACCCTAAACCAAACCCTAAACTAAAGCCTAAACCCTCAACCCGAAACTAAGCCCTAAACCCTAAACCCTCAACCCGAAACCCTAAACCCTCAACCCTAAAGTAAGCCCTACACCCTCAACCCTAAAGTAAGCCCTAAACCCGGAACCTCACCCCTTCACCCCCACACCCACCCTAAACCCTAAACCCTAAACCTCTGAGAAATGCTTCACAGGGCCTTCGCTGAGTCCCGAGGGTCTGCTGCTGCCAGCGGCTGCACCTGAGCTCCCCCAGATTTTCGGGATTTTGGCTTAGGGTTTAGGGCTCAGGGTTCAGGGTTCAGGGTTTAGGGTTTAGGGTTTAGGGTTTAGGGTTTAGGGTCCGGGGCTTCTGCTGAAGGAAACTATAGGTGGGGAGTTTAGGGTATGTAGGGCTTCTATAAGGCCTATAGACCTTCTATAAGGCTCCCATAAAGGGAACTACCCACCTGAAAATGTCCTAGATTCTGCAAGGTAATACACCCTAAACCCTAAACCCTAAAGTGGGGTTTAGGGTTTAGGGGTCTAGGGTTTAGGGTTTAGGGTTTAGGGTAGCGACTGAGAGTTTCGGAGGTTGCATAAGGGCATAAAGAGCTTTGCGGACTCGGAACTTCCAAAACCCTAAACCCTAAACCCATGAGTTGGCATAGACTCTTCCCTCATTCAGGGGGCCTTGGTGTCTCTGACCTGCCTTGCTGGGCTCAGGGTTCTGGTCATTGCCGTTTTGAGGCGTAGGTTTAGAGTTTAGGGTTCAGGGCTTGGGGTTCAGGGTTTAGGGTCTAGACCGTAAGACTCGGATGTAGCTGTCCATCTATACGTCTGTCCGTAGTCCGTAGGTGGGTATGCGAACCGTACTCACACATGGTGTTGACTTCCTCTGGCTCTTTTACATCTACGCCTTTGAAGGCTAGGATCGGGTTTTCCAGAATCAAGCGGGGCTACACGTAGCTTCACTGAAACTCTTGGGCGGCGCCCTCGGAACTAAATCCGATCCCCAAACAGCACTTTAGGTGATCTCAAAAGTGTGGCGAAACGAGTACTCTATGGGTATGTGAAACCCAAAACCCATGACCTGCCAATCTACGATAGAAGCCCTAATAATTACCAATCTTATGCCGTAGGGCTCCTTACAATAGCTATACTACAAAGGAACCCAGAACCCTACTCTAAATTTTCAGGCCCCTACATGACTGAGAACTAAATACCGTGAAACCTGAAAGCTGGACCTTGCCTGTCTTGGCGCTAGGACAAGTTGACAAGCGTCAGCGGTTGCCAAAAGTTCACACGATGAACCGTAAGTATTGCATCTTATAAACTTTAAAGCCTAAACCTGAACCCGAAAACCTTTAACTAAACCCCCAACTCCCTAAACCCTTAACCCTTAACCCTAAACCTGAACCCAAAACCCCTAGCTAAACCCCAAAGCCCCTAACCCTAAACCCTCCTTCTCTCCTTCACAAACCACATGGGTAGTTCTCCAAATTAGGATCCCTTTTTGGGTCCCCAACATAGTACAGCACCCTTATAAAAAGGACCTCCCAAAGGGACCCTAATTTAGAAAACTACCCACATTTGGAAGCCAATGCTTAAGGACCCTAAACCTAAACCCTAAACCCTAAACCCGAAGCCCTAAACCCTAAACCCTAAACCCTAAACCCTAATTAATCCCTAAACCCTAAACC